TGGTTGTATCATTATTATTCCAAAATACACATCTATATTTTTTGCTTTCTCTATCAATTCTGCATTCCTAAAATTAGACTCCTCATGCTTGATGAAGTTACCCAGGACCCCAAATTCTCAGATTTAAATGAGTCTTCTTCAAACAATTTTGTCTGCTGAGATCCTTGGCATTCAAGTCTACCCTACTCAAAAAAAAAAATTATCTTGGCATTTTTCCTCTAAATATTTTCCATAAATCTCCCATTTCCACAATATATTCTTTATGTACATACTCTATGAGTAAAAATATATGTGTATAAAGTCCACATGTCAGATAATTCTTTTAACCCTACTAATGTTAGACAAAAAAAAAAAAAATCAGTATTCTTGGGGGAAAAAAATCCTTGCCTAATCAGATGGACTTGAATTTTGACCAAATTTCGTATAAGAAAGAAATTAGATGATTTGACACCTGTGATCTTTTTTGCACTCACAAATCTGTTTAATTACTGGTGAGATAAGGCCAAGAAAGTCCAAAAACCTGCACAATGGGGCCGTGCCACGAGCTAACGGCCAACATGGGGCAAATATCAAGGTTTAGCAATTCTCAATTCTATCTCAATATTCTCAATTTTAAACTTATGATGGCCTCATGATATTTTAAACCATTCATGGTCTGACTCCCAGATCCAATAACAAAATACATAACTATCATACAGAGTACCATGCTTTAAAAGCTACAAATTGTGTGTAAAACATGTTTATGGAGAAGGGCAAGGGGAACTACTCTCAAAAAATATATTCATGGGCCATTTGATAGACTCAGGCTGGAAGAGCAAAGAATGGCAGTGAACAAATGTCACGCCCCTAACTGAATTTCGCAGACAGCCGTCAGCCTGGTTTTCCTACGTTTCACTTTCCCAGTCAGCTGTGAGCTGTTTCCATGTGTGAAATCGCCTGAGCGAGGAAGCGAAGCTGTCGTCTGACATCTGGGAGCGTGGAGGTCGGGGTGCAGCAAAGAGCATTTTGGACTTCTTCAATTTACACACAAATTCACCTATGAATTCTCAAGTCTGAAAGTACTCGATGAGAAATACCAACGTGAATTCCGGGCATTCACAAAGACTCACAGTGGGGTGGCAAGTAAAGGTGAAGGGCACACACTGATAGGATACCATCTCAACTTCTTAAAGACTAGAATGGGAAACTTCAGTGATATTATTAGCATAAGATCCAACATATAAACAGTTCAACTCACTTAGATTGCATATTAAACTTTCAAATACAGTTGTTTGCATTCTATGTGCTCAATATTATAGGTTCTAGTTTCTAGCTGCTTTTTAATGACTGGTTAAGACTGATAAACTAATACAAGAAAATACTTCCTTAACATTTTCTTTTTCCTTTATACTTAAAATGCTGTAACAGAAAAATCACTCTGTGCTGCGACAGTTCCAACGCCACAACACACATACCCTGTGCACCCACGTGCACGCCCCGACAGAAACAAAATCAGAGCAACGACGAGGAAGTGCCCAGAGAAGGACAGCCAACCCACTCCAGTGTTTATTCTGTAGTCTCTCATACTGAAAAACAGGGGTACCTGTCTAAGAGTCTCTTAATACCATATCTAAAAGTCTCCTAATATGGAAACTAGACACTGTTCTGCTTACACTGTCATGCTATACAATCTGTTCCCACTTCGGGGACTATTTCTTTGCTCGTTCTCGTCCTGAACTCAGTTCTGTTTCTCTGGTATGAAAGCAACCCATTTACTATGAATGATGTTTATGTACAATAAAATCTTTCTAGGGAATCATCCTAGATACTCTAAGGATACAAAGTGAACCTAAAAGGAAGGGCTGCTACTTTGGAAACAGGGTTGGGTTTGATCAATGAATTCGTATTCTCAAGACCCTCTTGATGGGCCTGCAGCTGCAGCCATTTATTGGCTGGCTTTTTCACAGATGTAGACAGAGAACGCTCCGTGGTTCTTGTCTTTTTGTTGTTGGACGTGGTTTCTTTTTAATATAGAAAGTGGCAACTTAAAAAAAATTCTTCATTTTGTTACAGAAGCTTGGCAATATCAGACATTCTTGGTAGTCTATTGTTGAAATGACTATGACTTTTAAAAGCTAAGATCACAAAGTTGGCAGAAACTATACTTCAATAACAGAAGGTGATCATTTGCATTTCAAAATTTATCTATCTTGCTTTTCCCCTCAATTAGGCCAAAACATGTTGATTCACAGGTTTCAGTGTGTGTGTTTCTTTCTTTTTTTAAACTTATTTATAGAACAGAATAATGGCCCCCCTGCTAGTTTGGCATTTGCTCAAGTTTCTGCCCATGCAAATCGAATCTGTTACTGGAAATTTTTCTCAAAATATAAAGGCACATCGTCCACAAGATAAAAAGATACATTACTGATAATATAAAGTACAGAGCAGGTGGGTAATGTTTTTAGGACAAACACATGATAAGGACTCCCAGGAGGGAGGAGCGGTGGGGGTAGAGGCTGCACACTGTTTAAACAGAAGTGAACTGTTCTCATCATAATCTTGTGACAACTTTACTTTATAACCAAACACCAGTGGCTTAGTACACTGTAGAGTTACTTGGACAATAATGCTAAGGTTAGAGTTAGGAAATGGGGGGGCAGGGGGTGTGGAAGAATTAGTTAAACCCTTAATATTTCTAACAGAGGACCAAGAACTCCATAGTAATCTACAAATTTTGCTCCAATTCCCCTTGCATCGTGGGCAGAAGTACAGACTTAACTGAGTTCTGGAACTCTCTGAGATTAAGATCACCTAATTTAGAGCACTAGCATTACTTTTCAGTTAAGGCCATTACTGGCTTTATTTTATCCTGTTGATAAAACAAATTATTAAGCCCAAGGAATGAAGAGACTTTCCACATTGTTCAATGCAAGCCATAATTCTAGGGCACTTTTGCAACTCACAAAGCTTGAAAGTACAATTCTTTTATGCAAATAATTAAAACAAAGCCCTTCTTCAGACTACAGGCTTTTTTTTTTTTTTTAACGTTAGTGAAGGACAACCTGAAAGATGAGAGCAAAAATCCATTAATAGTAGACTGCCACCTGCTGGTCAACTATAAGAATTGTGACTTCTGAGAAAAGGCATACAAATTAGAACTTGGATAATGATCTATTAAATTCAGTACTTCAGTACACAAAATTGAAAGTACATATCTATTGATGAATGTTGTACGGTTTTGTTCCACATTTATGTACACTCTTAGAAGGTCAACATGCTATAATGTTACAGTAAACACACAGGACTGTACTTTAAGCTGAAGAAAAATAATCTGCTGGAATGCCAGCATACAGATAGTATCCAATAAGAAAGTAACCACACCAACAGGAACCAGTGAGTCAGTTAGTATTTAAATTAGGACACTAGCATTACTTTTTAATTAAGGCCATTACTGGCTTTATTTTATCCTGTTGCTAAAATAAATGATTAAGCCCAAGGAATGAAGAGACTTTCAGTATGTAAACACTAAACAATGCTCCATAAACATTTGGCTTCAATGTAAGTTTTCTACTGCATCTGGCTTCAGGATTTAATAAGGTTTCACCTGAAAAAAAACCCCAGATTTAATTTTGATTCTAAAACCTCCAATTCAATATAATTAACACATATATCTATGTATACTGATACCTCAAATGTTATTTCTTATCAAGTTAGAAAAAAAGGAGGGTCTGTTAAAAGAAAAAAGAAAGAACCAGATAACTATAACAAAGTGATTTTACTATGAAAAAAATTTTTATTGTCCCATTATCTAAATCACACTAATAGGGTTTCAAAAAACAGCATAAAACTATCTGAGAGAAACAAAAATGTAATCATGTTCTATTGCCCCTTGGAAGACAAAAACAAAAAACAAAAAACAAACAAACAAACAAAAAAACAAAGAGCCCTAATTTGGAGAAAGAAAAAAAAAGTAACAGTACAAAGAAAATTCAAATTGTTGTTTTCAGAAAATAGTTTTAGGATATTTGCTTTGCAAGTTGAGAAACTTTGTTATTCCCCAATACAGAAATTATTCTTAACAATGAAGGGCGTAACTAAAAATAATATAGCTCTTTCCATCCTAATTAGAATAATTTTCCATTATGCAGGGAAACAATGTTAGCTTAGCATCAATAATACACTGGTTAGCTAGTAAGCACTTAAATGCTGCATTAATCAACAACTAAGCAGATCATGTCAACATAATCAGCTTGAACTTTCCCTGAAAGCCAGTGGGGTGACAAGTGAAGAAACTTGGGCTACCCAAAGAGGCTGGAACTAGGCAAAAGGTGAAGGAACTCTGGATTCAAACACAGCCCTATCTGACAAAGAGAAACTAACTCAAATACAATCCCTATGCTCAAGTGACCTGTAATTATCAACAAAGTATCTACAAGCCCAGAAGTGAATCTCTAATTTAAAAAAATAAAGACAATACAGTAAGAGGAAGAGAAACCTGTTATATCAAATATTTGGCAAAACAGGCTATTTTAAAAGAATAACATGCTTCCTAAAATTTCTCAAATACAGAAAAAGAAACTTTAAATCTGCTCTAAATGCCAGGTTGGCTCCTCACTGAAATCACAACCTTGTTTTGTTTGGTTTTTTTTTTTTGACTCTATACTTTATTATATTTTTAGCCTCAGGAATTTTACCCTTTTAGTCAATTACCTCTCACATATTAATAAAAATCATGCACTTAAAGAGGTTCAGGGTGTTTAAAGGTCTTCAAACACTCAGAAGTTAAGACGTCTCTAAGACATCAACGCTTCCACAAGAAGCACAAACCCATTCAACAACGAATACACACACAAAACTGTACGTTATACAATGGTTTCACCCCTCAGATTCCTTTTCTGAAGGATTAAAGAGAACCAAACCCCACACACGAGTGAACTGCTGGGGAAAATCACAACTTCCCTAGAGCCACGGGAGCCGCGGAGGACTGTGTCAAGGGAAGCGGCGCAGGAGACGGCGCTGACCTGGGGCGCAGTACATTCTCTCCACGGCGTCGCTGTCACAGGAATCTTCAACCTCACTCCACCTGCTGAAATACGTTAGCTGGATGTGTCCTAAAAACAAAACGACAGGAGAAATCAAAACATTTTTCTCTTCCATTTTCTGCAGAAGTGAACTGTAATTACTCCTTTTGTAGCTAAAAACAGTATCATTAAGAATAATGGCATCATTAAGTACTAGAAGCTATTACTGGGGGTGAATTTGCTGCACTGATAATGAAGCTCTAGATAGGAAATGAAGATACTAATTACAAGATAAAACGCCTACTCAGTTAATTGGAAGCAACAGCGAATAAAAAGAAATGCATTTGCAAAAGTTCCTGACCTCTATCATTCAATAAGATGTTGTTTGGGTTCAGATCGCGGCACACAATCCCCTCTCTATGTAAAGCGTCAAGGGCTACCACCATTTCAGCTGCCCATCTTTGAATGCAGCCCTCTGGGATGTAAAACCTGGAGTTCAGTGCTAATTTTTTATCAAGGTCCTCAAAAATCTGATGTATCTCCTTGTCTCCTTGTGCTAACGCACTTGCTCCCTTAGTCACAGAGTCTCTTCGAAATAAAGTCGATTCCTCTTCGGCCAAATCATCGGTGTGATCTGTAAACAGCAATACTTCTTCAGTTTTTAAAGTGTCTGTGTTTGCATATTCATTAGCACCTGAGAGTGGGTCAGAAACCAGGAATAAGCTTTCGTCCATGCTGTTTGCGGCCACTGCCGACTCAACCCCTCCAAGTCCCTGGAAGTTAGGATCTGAGCTGCGTAACAAGGACATGTCTCCTGAACTACTGGGGTCAACAGCGGCCACAAATAGCATCCCAAGATCCCCCTGGGCATAGTGTTTCTCTGGTACACCATGGGATTGAAGGCCAGAGGGGTCACTCAATTCCCCTGCGCCTTTTTCTTCTTGTGCTTGGCACTGTTCAGCACTAAGCCTGAGGCATAAAACATCGGGGGCTTCCAAGAGTTTGCTTTCCATTATGCTCATATTAGTCTGTGTAAACTTAGTAGGCCCCACGGCTGCACCATCTTTCGTTGGCTCCAGTTCCCCAGGTAGGTTTACAAGAAGATCAGGCCTTCCTTCATCAGGACCACTGACATCCTCAAAAGCAGCATCTTTGAAAGAAATAACTGGGACAGAGTCATCTGAGCCTCTGCTAATGGTATCCTGAGCTATAACCCTGCTTTCACTAATATTAAAACTCCTGTCTCCATCTGAAAGTGTAAAAAATGGTTTCAAAGGCTCTGACTTTAGACTATACATTTTTTCTCCAAAATCAAGTCCTAGGAGTTCACTAGTGCTATCCTTGCTGTCTATCCTAAAGAACTCCATGGAGCTGTTTTTAGATCTACTGAGGGAATCTAACGTTCTTGGAGAACTAACTGCTTCCAGGCCATCCTCTGCAGGGAAGAGTTGCAGCTCGCAAGCTATCCGCTGAGTGCTGAGGCTGTCGCTGTCAGCCGCAAGGGGTGTCGGGACGCCTTCAACAGCTTTGGTACCAACACCACTTCCTTCGCTCCTCATGAAAGGCTCCTCACTCAAGGACCCGGGTTCAATCTTTTCTTGCCCATATTCATTGCATAATGTTAAATAACTAGTAGTGCATTCTTCCTCTGAACTTGAGCCAGAATCGGGCCATTTTGGAGAGCTATCTTGGCCGTCATCGTCTTGGGTGCTACCGTCTTGGGAGCTCTGAGTCAGACTGGTCTCCAGGGGCAGGACCTGCAGCAGGGCCCCCTGGTCACTCCCTCTGGATTCGAAGCTGCTGCTGCCCTGAGGACTGCGGGTCGGCTGTCGCAGGGGAACTTGACTAAGTGCAGATTCTTCCACTTCCTCGATGTCAAAGCTTTCTTCAGGGCTTCTGTTTAGAAACTTACTGATATATGACCAGAGTTTGCCACCTGTGAAAAAGTATAATAAAAAATAAAAATTAACATCCCCAAATTAATGGTTACTCACTCAAACCATTAGAAAAGCAAAAAAGTATTCTAATAATCGATTAACAGCCAGACAATGATACCCATCCATTAAAATACCCAGTATGCTGAAAGGCAAGCATTCTAATAAAATGTCTTTCGTTATCACTGACTGATGGGTACAGTTTCGAGCATATCTCCTAATAGCAATTATTTCCGAAAGGACAACCTATTTCTTCCTTTGAAGAGAAATTAGTTATAACAAATGCTAGTATGAAATCTCAAAGATGAATTTCTACTTAAAAGTTCAATATAATTTAGCTTTAGAAACATCTGATTGTGTTCTGACTTGTTTATGTCATAATTTTTTCAAGCATGGTCCCTTGGTCAAGTGAAAATTCATAAATAAGTGCTGCTTAAAACTATATACTTCATGGGGGGCGGGAATCAACAATATTATTGCATTTTGAAAATGCCCAGCCCAGGATCAGGGGTAGATTTGGCATAGGTACGTAGTTATGCCATTATAAGTGCCAATTAATATTTTTCCCCATTTTCTCCCCTCCCCAAAAACATCATGTGTTGTATGAGCCCAAGTAATGCAATTGAGGAATATTAATTGAGCGGCCATTAATGTGGCAAGCTATTAATTCTAATTTTGTATTCTGATATGTATCAGAAACCTATAAAACCCAAAATCATAAAAATTAATTTCACGTAACTCATAGAAATCAAATACACACAAAATAATCCAGTGTTTTACCAGCAATACTTGCCAGGTATTTATTTCACTTGATTTTTCTTTTGTTTTAACCATTAAAAACTAAACCTCTTTTGCTAATTAGAATCTTTGAATATATAAACTATGATAAGTATCAAAAACCTACCAAAGCTCTACTGACTAGAAAAAGTATTACAAGAAGAAAGAAGTTAAATTTAATCAAGAAATCTTAAAAAACAGTAACTGCAGAAGCATACTTTGTGAAGATATAACTGAAGCTTCCAAAGGTAAGAAGTAATGTGTTAAACATAAAACTTTCTATTAATATGATGAAGGCAACTTTTTTCAGCACATTTTTAATGCTGTTATTAAGCATCATGTACCAAGGGTAACTAAATATAACCACTGACAGTCTATTATACGTATAAAAAAGTCAATGGCAACATCCAAAATTCTCTTTCTACTTCACATTTCACTCCACACAGAGGAGTTCAGTGAGTGCATAAAGCCTGGGATACTGTGCCTGGCACAGAGTAACAGCTCAACACGGAGGAGCCGTCCTAATGTTAACCCTACCACGCCCCACATCTCCTCCACCAGGGACCCAGCTAACGGTCTTCTTTCTTTTGGATAATAATCAGTGGCATAGGGCATTATGGCATTTAACCTTCCCCTCTCACTTTTTCTTAGCTAACTTTCTGTCCTCACTAGATTATGCTTAGTTTTTCCTATTTCCCCACATTGAAACAGAAGTGTAAAGACTCATACATGGTTTTGAAACACACTCACTCCTACAAGGAGCTTGTGCACTGATTCCATCTTTTCTTCGTCTTCTGACAACAGTAACCACACCCTCTTGTCACAAATGCCTCTGCTGTGGCACACCGACAGTAACACTGGAGCCTGAAGCTGGGGTTCTTGTATGCAATCAAAATGATGGAGCATTGTTTCCAGTTCTCTTAGATGCTGACGACTGTGAGGACAGCTCCAAGCCTTCTCCAAACTCTCTGTATGGACACTTCTCACATGGTGTGCAGGGCATGGCTGGCATTCAGTCACTGCCTGCCAACTCGGACGGCAGCCCATCAGAGCGAGGGGTACCCACATAAAGTAGACCATGTCTGTGGCTGCGATGCTCCGGGGACCAGCAGGAAACAGGTCCAACTCAAGTTCTAAGATATGTTTCATTCATTCCTAGGCCACTTCCACGTGGATGAGGTGCTGAAATCTAAAATTCAATGTGCTCAAGTTCTTTTATTTTTGCCCTCCAAATCACTTCCTCTTTCTGACTTCCAAGCCTTTCTGGCAGAAAAGCTTTGGACCAAACCTGGACTGTTCTCTCTCCCTTGTTCATCCTTCATCGAACAATCTTCCAAGTCCTCCCGTAAGATCTACCCATAATGTTTCTCACAGTCTTCCTCCTTTTTTCATCCCTTGAATCACTGTTTCTTGGAATACTCTTACAGCTACAACTAGATTTCTACCACAGCTGCTGCCCGATTAACCTTTCATTTTAGCACAGATCTTATGATGTCATTTCTCCATTCAAGAACCCCACTCCCTGCCACCTACTGATGTGCCAACTCCATAAAAGGCATTTGGACCACTCAGTAATGAAGTACCAACGCATGAGTAGGTCCTCTCCCTCTGCTCACCACGTGATCCATCTGAACTGGGTTTCTCCACACATAACCTATGCCAGGCGTTTGATCGTACTATACCCACCACTTGGAAGTTTCTTTCCTATCAGGTTCCCCAATAATCCCACTCGTTCTTGAAGGTCCTTCTAAATTTGTTTCTTTCATCAGTTTTTTATATTCCTTTGCTGGATACAACTCCTATCATCTCTGAATCCTCTATATCACTTCATCTTTCTTATGACACTTACAGCATTCTATTTCATATTAGTAATATTTTTCATGCTTTTATTATCTCCTTTACCAGATGGCAGAGTCTGTGTAACTGCAGGGAGAGGATTCTGTCTCGCATGTAGAATAATAGGTCTTAAATAAATATTTAATTAACTGGATTATAAAAAGATGACAACTTTACCAATTTTTTGAAAACCTTTCAAGGAAAAGGTCTATAAATATTCATGGCATTATTTTTGGTCATATAGTTTTCCTATTTTAAAACAAATATATGGTTCTATTGTTAAAAATTTTAAATACAGCTCTGGCTGGTGTAGCTCAGTGGAATGAGCGCTGGCCTGTAAACCAAAGCGTCACTAGTTTAACTCCCAGTCAGGGCACATGCCTGGGTTGCAGGCCAGGTCCCCAGTAGGGGACGCATGAGAAGCAACCACACATTGATGTTTCTCCCCCTCTCTTTCTCCCTCCCTTCCCCCTCTCTAAAAATGAATAAATAAGATCTTTAAAAAAAAAAAAGAAGTGTGAGTATTTTTATGCTTCTGACACGTGTTGTGAGACTGTCTCCCAGATGGGTTATCCCAGTAAGCAGTGTGCACTGGAGCTGCCTTCACAGCAACTTGCTTCTGTTGGATATTAGCAAGTTCAACAATTTGATTGGTCAAAATAGCATCTTATTTAATTTCCATTCTTTCCATTATTAGGTAAAATTTCTAAATGTGTCTGTAGGCACTTTCCTTATGAAATGTGTCCTTAGCCTAAATGAGTACCCAAATTGAATTATGAAAACTCTGCATGTTCAAGCAAGAAAATAAACTGTTTTAGTTAGCTCTTCTCTGTTCTTTGTGACATGCCCACTTAAATTTAACGGTCAATAGGGAGCTACAGAAACAAACGTTTTGGTCCTATCACATACTTTTTTTAAAATGACAAAGTCATAGAAACTACCTAACCTACAAGAACACATTATTCCTGTTGAAGTTTCTCACCCACAAAAGCTGAGTAGGTGTTGGGAACTGCCCCGCCTGGTTTCAGAAGCTGTAACCCCCCATGGCTAAGGCTGAGTGAGAGACCTTGGGACCATAAGCCACTAAGGAGACAAAGCTTATCTCCCTGGCAGGAGCACTGCCTCTGCCCACTTTACTTCACCCTGCCTGGCCCCCAATGCATGACTGGTTAGCCAATGATGGGTTAAGATTCCTCAGGGAAGGGACGACCTAAGACAGGCACGGTCACGAGGGGGCCCTAGGGGAAGGGCTTGGGGGGCTATGGAGAAAGGGGATGATGGACCCTCACCCCTCAGCTTTGACATAGCCTGAGTCCTCATTCTGTCTGCAAGAAGTCTCCTAATCTCTTGGCTACCTTACTTCCCTTACTCGACCTAAGCCTAAAACAATTCTGGAGGTAGGTGCGGCCTGTGCTGGAAAGGACAGGTTTCCCAGGGTGATCAGGCCTAAGAAAGAAAGAATACATAAAATCCTGTGAAACCTGCTTTGCTAATGCCCTCAATTTAAATGATAAGAGTCCAAGCATGAAATGAGTTTGTTTCCTCAAAGTTTTATGGCCCTTTAGCTATCTGACCCTGACTCAGAATAAGCCCTCAGAGTTCTCTGAATGTTATCTATTTGGTCATTACTGTCTGACAATGACTGATGAGCTTTCCATACACACCCTGTATTCCTATGCAAATTAAAGGCAATAAAAGCCTGTAGAGGCAAGGGTTGGTGGGTGCTTTCCTCTTGAGAGAGTGGCTGTGCAGGAACCTTTTCCTCCACAGGACTCAGAGTCCATGGAATTTGTCTCATCTCATCCATAACGCCGCAGACACTGTGGGCTGGTGTCCACATCAAGTAGGTTTTACTTTCTATAGAATTAATATCAGGCCCAACACAGAGACTTACACAAATGTCAGTTTTACTGTTGTAACATTAAAAACATTAACCTTAGAAACAAACCTATTGTTGGCTAAACCACAAAATATAAATATGAAATGCATGAACATATTTATAATTTTTAATATTTTAGTAACACAAATGATACCTAAGACCCATTAAAGCATATAAAATAGTAGATATTAGCTATTTTAAGTTATGAAAATAGCAATACACAAGGTTTAATAAAAACTCTTTTTTAAAAACTTTCATATTTTAATCTATTGATTTTCAGCAAGATTACAAAAAAATTTTTAATTTTACTTGACCAGAATCAAAATTTTTAATTAATATATACAATAAAATATTGCTGGGCCAATGATCAAAATCATCTTTTGACCCAGCAATTCTACTTCAAGAACTTTCGCCCACAAATAGCTCTCAACAAACAAAGATATATGGGTAAAAGCACTAGAAACAATTTAAACACCAATTAACACTCAATTACATAAATTATGGTAAATCTGTACAACCAAATAATTTGTATCTATCAAAAAAATGAGAGCATTATTTGTAAATATTTACATCTTATTTACCATGTGCTGGGCCTGCTCTAAGTACTTTATACATATCAGCTATTTAATGCTCATGTCGGTCCTATAAGTAGGGGTCATTGTTGTCACCCCTACTTCACAGATAAGGAAACAGAGGCACAAAAAGGTTAACTAACTTGTCCAAAGTCACACGACTAGTAAATGGTGAACCAGGCTCCAGAGTCGTTGCTTTTAACCACCACACTACACTGCAGACCTGTATGTGCTGAGAAGGAAAGCTGGCCAAATGCTTTCCTAAAAGGAAAGCATTTGGCCAGCTTTCCTTTTAAGATGGGGGGAGTATGGCAAGTTACAAAACAATGTTTAAGATCCATTTGTTTTTTAAAAGCAGACGGGCAGGGAGTATGTGTTATATACATAGGAAATTTCCCCCGTTTCTAGAGGATGAAACTGGGCATTACAGTGAATTGGGCAGGAGAATTTTAATTTTACTTTGTATACTTCTACATAGTTCAAATTCATGTCTTAATCTATTAGTTTTATACATTTTTAAAACTAGTTAATGAAAAAAAGAATCATTTCACCCTTTGGGCCCCAAATAACTTGGGAGAAATGACCTCTCACTCCCGGTCGATGTGGTGGGTGCACATCCGGACACTTTTCCAGTGCTTTCCTTCTGACCTGCTCACTCATCTTCTCTCTGACTCGCAGCTCAGTAACCACACACCGAGCCCCTTCCATGTACTAAGCATTCCAATAAATGCCAGGGTGTGTACGATGAATATGACTTAATCCATAATCTTAGGAACTTACAAAGTTTTAAAAACACTCATGGCCTTTGCTGAATACAATTATTTTCCCACCTCTTCTTCCTCAGAGTTAAAATAAGAGATTCATTAATGAAAACACGCATTTCAAACCTCTCTCCTAAAATCTCGCCTGGTATATCCTACTCAGTACCACCCAGATTTAATAAGTACCACAAACTCACATGTCTAGACCCGAACCCCTGATCGCTCCCTCTGCATCCACCTCTCCCACAGCTTTCCCATCTCAGTAAATGGACACTCTGTCCTTTCAGGTCTCTGAGCCAAAACCCTAGAGTCAGGCCAGGTAGAATCGTGTCCGTTCTACCTTCAGAACACACTCAGGATGGAGTAACCATTTCTCACCACCTCCCCCACTGACGCTTCGCCCACGCCCCCTTCGTTTTCACCTGGGTTGCGGCAACAACTTCCGAACTGCGGTGCTCTTGCCTCTGCCCTCCTACATTCCACCTTCCACGAGGCAGCTGGAGTGATATCTATCTCACCACTCCTCTGCTCAGTGTCCCCCAGTGACTATCTACCAATTCAGAATAAAAATCAAGTTCTCAAAGTGGCCTACAAGACCGCACAGGATCCGTCCGCCCACTGCCCCACTTCTCCAGGCTCACTTCCCACCACTCTTCCCATTCTGCTCCAGCCACGGCGACCTTGCTGCTTCCTGCACACCACCTACACTCTCGCCTCCAGGCCTACGCAAGGCTCTCTTACCAGGATACTGATCCTTCATGTAGCCACGTGCTCCCTCTCTCACCTCCTTCAGGTCACTGGCCAAACTCGCCTTCCTAACAAGGTACTGCTCTATGCCTCGCCCTCTGGCATTCCTTCCCCTTTCTGTTATTTTCTCTGTCTGACTTATATTCACTTACGCATTTGCTGACTGTCTTGCCTCTATGACACCAGCTCCACGTGGGCAGTCTTCATCTACTACAGAGCTAGGCCTGTCTCCCAGTAAGCACACAATGCATTTCTGACAGGATGAATTAAAGAAAATGAGTCAAGAGACTCGTGTGAGTCATGAACAGTTTTTTTATAAGCAGAGGGAAGCTAATGCCACAAATAAATATTCAAACATTCATATTATGGCAAAAAATTGTTCATTTACTTTTTTAGCAATAGTTTATCCTGCATATGAAAGTGACATTTACATGACACACGCACAAAGACAGCACCACTAACATGTAAAAGCACGCTGTCCGTCATCCAGCTCACTTGATCACTCAAGCCAAATCCAAGAAATTACCCTCAATGCTTCTGTCCTACCTTTATGCCATCACAGGTCCCAAAAGCCATGCTATCATCATTTCTTGCCTAAGACTATTTCATTAGCCTTCTCCCTGCTTCTATTCTTACCTCTCTATAATCCACTCCCCTACAACAGCCAGAGTGATTTTTTTAAATGTAAGTCAGACCTGGCCACTGCTTCAGATGTCCCATGTTCCCCAGTGCACTTGAATAAAGGCCGAAGTCCTTACTCTGTCACAGAAGTCTCCTGCCTGCTTCTCCAACAGCCTCATATCCACTATGGCCCTCACTTACTACACTCCAGCCAAGCGGTCTCATGGCTTGTTCTTCAAACATTCCAAGTTTGCTTCAGCCTTGATTTCCGACACTAATGCCTGCACTGGAATGCGCGCCCATCCTTACATCCACATGGTACTTCTTCTGTCATTCAGAACTCTTACCTGCCACTATTGGGGACTTCTTTGGCTGCCTAATCTAAAACAGGCCCCGGTCCTTATCCGTTAGATCTCTCTCTCTGTTAAAGATCGGCAGAGTCCCTGTTATTATCTAATATTCTCCTGCTGTTTGTTTTCCTGTTTGACTCTGCAGAACAAGAATGCACATCTCAAAGGGGCAGCCTCTTTTGCTGTCTTGTTCACCTGCACATTCTCAACAAAGCTCTTTAGTGTTAAATGAGTCCAGAGTCCCTACATGCACTATAATTTAGTATATTTGTATTATAAAATCTTCTTTAAAATTAAATGACACCTAACACACAATAAAGAGAGACAACACCTCCCCCGCCTTGAAGTGTAAATAATCCAGTATAAATTCTATGGTCATGTGACTATTCTAAATCAGGCATGGTCAGCAATAAAGGAAAAGAGAGCTGGTAAAGGTAATCTAAAACCGTGGAAAATTTAAAAACCATTATGTCTATGTCTTTAAAACAGATTATAAATATTTCCACAGCGTTGATGTAAATTCAGTGGAAATGTGGGCTTTGAAGGGCAAGGGAAGGTGAGAAGGTGGCAGAAGAAAACCCAAAGTGTGACTTGGAGAAGGAAGAGGAGGAGAGGAAGGGGGAGCTGGAAATAGCAAGGGTAAACTAGGATTGAAAATTTGCCACAGATAATCTCCAACATGAATAATCCACCCCGGGTAATAGAATATTGACTATAATTACATTCATCCTACTGACCTTGTTCTAAATTATTATGGATTATTACTGCGCAAGTTATTTTTGTTCCACACCAGAGGTGGCTGTATTCCGCTATCAGATGACATGACCTCTAATTCAATAATGTCTGTAATGCACTGGTATCCTCCGATAAAAGCTGTCTATAATGTCTGAACAAAGGTGAATTAGTTATCCAATTCACACACGCAATTAACTCTCTTAATACCTGAGAGACCATGGAGGCCCCTCTGAATTTCCCATTAAGTACCACATATGGAGGTCTTCCCTCCGTCTGTAGTTATCTTGTGCTGTACTTCATAATAAACAATATTAATCGTTTATTGCCATCAGAAATCTTACATTAGTTATAAGAGACCTCTGCAAAGCAGTGCCTCATTTTCCTGGGAAAATGCATTAAATTCAAATGCTATGCCTATTTGTAAAACACAAATAGTTCTCTATTCTCAGTAATGTGAAAATAATAGTAATACCATTAAATACAGAAAATTTAATTTTTTCCATCATTTTTAAGCACACCTCTTACAAGCCAAAGGGCAGTATTTATAATGTAGACTTATATTTACGTGCTGTATTCAGTCACTTTAATTTTTTTTAAAAACTGTTTAAATCCAGGCATTAAAAGGCAAAAACAAATCAAAACATAGTACTTTTGCCACCTGTTCCCTCTACTCAGAGCTGAAATTTCATAAATAGTCTGAAGGCAGAGTAGCGTGTCCCTGCTCTGCATCCGCATGTGATGCCAATGGCCGCATTTGTAAAAACTCAGATTAGAACAACTGGGTCATGTCAAATGTCAAGCAAACACCCAGGCCTTCTAAAAAGGGAGGTAATTAATTAATTCTTCAGGATATGTTTCTTATGTTAGTCATCTAACATTAATGCATCCTTTCAGCAGAGCACAAGAGAACAAAATAAAATCTGTAAAACGAAACCTGGCTCTCTCAGCACACATCCAGCTGGAAGTTCTCGTCCTATCAGATCCACTCGAGGAGAAAGCGGTAGTTGTGTGTATCCAGGGATGTTGCTACAGTTCAAATGACATCTGCTGCTCACCTGCGTTTCCACCCCCCCTCCCGACTCAAACAAGGGAGGGAAGGCAGAGGAATAAGGCAACAGTTTCTCACATGTGTTTCACACGGTTTACTCGTTCGTGTAATGACAGAAGAAGGACATTCTGAAAACTAAAAAGCTAAGAAGGTGACATTCTTTGCTCAAAACAATTTAAAGCACCAACCAACCTTCCGCGTGCTGCAGCACAAGAAACACTGACTCCTCGGAAACGATGTACTTGTGCAGACACACCATGTTGGGCACGCAGCGGGGGATGATGGTCTTTCTGTTCCTGCTGTATTCACTGCTTTTCCTGAGACCCTGACAGAGAACAAAAAGGTCAGTTGTACCCTCAGCTGCCTTTGGAGCCTGCTGTGCTCTGTGTTTATCAACCAAACTAATCTATCCGAGTTACTCTGGGCTTCAGAGAAACCACTCATCTGCTGCTCTATGCCCCTCGGTCCCTGGAGGCTCTGCGGATGGCATCTGGCGTGAATCCAGAGAACGGAAGATGCCACAAAGCTGCCATTAAAATCAATTACGAGGGTCAGTGTTTTTATTAGAGATGCTCTCAAACTAAGTCATCAGGATGACACACAGTTATTTCTCTATGACCTTTTTCTTAAGTTGTATTTTACTTGTGTATATTTTTAAAGCAGTAGACATTGTGAGATCAATGCAAGTTCCTGGGACACAAAAGGTATTCCTAGATTGAACAGGCAATTTTAAAATTCTATTCCAAAAAAGCATAAATGTTATTTTAAGTTTTCTCCAAAGGACCAGGTTTGTATAGTTTCTGGTGTCATACCTTGGTTTTAAAACCTAGGAAAATGCCAGTGATAAAGTATATTCATAAAAAGAAATTTGTTTCAGAGCATATCAATAGGACCCACTATGGCCACACTGATAGAATAAAATAAAATAAAATAAAATAAAAGTATCAGAAAGAGAGCCCGGACCAGGGCAGCTCAGTTGGTTAGGCGTCGCCCCACAAAGCGCGGGGTCGCCGGATGAGCCCTGCGCAGGGCACATGCGTGGGTTACAGGTTCCATCCCCCGAAGGGGTGCACACAAGAGGCAACCAACCAAAGTTTCTCTGCCTTTCTCCCTCCCTTCCCCTCTTTCTAAACATAAATAAAATCTTTTTTAAAAAGTTTTAAGGTATCAGAAAAAGAAATATAAAATTAATCTGAAATTGATTAATACTAGATGTTGTGGGAATATTTAAACTGGGTTTTTTTTTAAGAACATGTACTGTCATAATCCATTTCAAATACAATTTCAAAATTGAGAGGTTTTCCTTGTTCATTTAGTTACAAACTGAGTTATACAGAGACTCAAAACAGAGACCAAGAAGAGGGCCAGGGACAAAGAATGGCTTCCCAAATAACTGTAACTGAAGACTTGAAGGCAAGAGTTCGGCACTCCAGAACTGTAATTACCATCACAAGGGAAGTGGTATGTGGCCTCCACAAATTACACAAAAGGTGTCAGAGATGTATTTAAAGTGCACGCTGCACATCCAAACAACGTGTGGTGACTCTTCGACTTACCCAACGTATTCCCTCCATACAGTCCATTACCTAAAACACTTAAAACACATGCTACAGAGTATTTATCAACTGTGACGGAAGGATAAAAAGTAAAGTAAGTACAGGTCACCACAAACATAAATGAACATCCAAAAAAGAACATTCAAACACCCAAGAAAAAAATACTAAATACTGTTTCTTTCAGAGCAAAATTTAAAATAAATTTCAAGATCATTAAACATACTAATTCTACTTACTTTTAAAATGAATGTCTGTTCTGTCCTTGTGTCCATTACAAGTAAAACCTACATAAAAAACCACGAATAATAATTTATTCATAATACAATAAAGCATTAACTCATAACTTTTTAAAACTACACTTTAAGGGTCTGGGGGACAGTGCTGGAAATGACTCCACCAACACTGTTAGTTTCTGAACAGGCTGTTTTTAAGGCACCAAGTCACAGGATTGAAATAGTCTTATCGAAAGTAGGTTTATGATGGGTTCCTTTCTAAAAATGCCGTATTTTAGAAATATTACTATGTCTCCCAGATTTATTTTAAAATATACTTCTTAAAAGTCAAGGAAAAATTATTTTAGAGAAAGAATTCTTCCCCATGCAACAGGTATGGTTAAGAAGAAAAACATATACATTTTACAGAAATTGTTGAGCTCTCAAGTTTCTCCCTGAAGTCCCTAAGGTAGCCACTCGCTACAATGGGATCTCGGTAACTCGGGCTCCAGTCTCAGGCATCCTTAAAGTGGTGCTTCTCCATCCCGGACTCATCCTACCTCCTCTTTGCCAATCAGCAAATGCTGTCCGCTCCCTCTCCAAAATGGATCGAGGATCTGAACCTGCCTCACCACTCCCACAGCTACTTCCCTGACCCCACACAGACGCACCCAGATTATAACAATCGCCTCCCCACAGATCTCTCTGCTTCCGTCTTTTGTCCTTGATCTATTTTCAAATAGCAGCTGGAATGTTCTTTTTAAACAGAAGTAGATCATGTCACTCCTCTCGCTCAGAGAAAAGGTCGAAGTCCAAAAAATGATCTTGAGACCCTTCGTGATCTCACACATCGCCCCTCGACCTGCAGCCTCCCCCACCATCTCAATGGAGAGGGGAAGAGAGAGGAAATTACCCTACCATGTTAATATTTTATTATTTTGGAGACACTGTTACCAGAGGGCGGCAAATTTTCCTATAAAGATGCGGACAGTAAATACTCTCGGCTGCGTGGGCCCATGCGGTCCCCGCCACAGCGATGCCCCTCTGCACAAGGGCAGCCCCCACCCGAAGTGGCTGTGGCGGGAGCACTCACACCGCAGACATCTGCAAACACTGAAAGAGGGATTTTTCCCCCCAACTCCAGAGAACTGCAAATCAAGGATTGAAAAAAACTGTCAAGCTTGGGAAAATAAAAAATGGGGAGTTAAGACTGGAAACCAGCTCGAGAAGAAGATGGTAAATTCCATTTTAGAAATGATGAATTTGATGTAACAGTGACATCATCTTCGGCCTCTCTTCTGAGGGCCTGACTGCTTATGTAGGTCTCCATTTAATTTCAATGGATATTCCCGCAGACACCTCCTGAACTCACCCTTTCCTCTTTCCAAAGCCCTGTCCCCACTAAAAACAAAATAAATCCCTGTTCCTCCTCCTCTAAAACCGAAATACTACTACCATCCACAGACCCCCCCCACCCAAATCAAAAGTTCCCCAAGTCCCTGCCCCCAACCTTCATAACCAGCAACCAAGACAGTCGGTTCTACCTCCTAAGTGTTTCTCTCACCCACCCTCTGCTCTTCCACCCACCAGGTTTAAGTGTTTACTGTGTGCTAGGTTTTAACCAGGTGTAATCAGTGTTAATTCTTGCAACTACCCAATGAGATAATCTTACCATTTCTATGCTGACTGTGAAGACATTATAGCTTCATCTGTAGAAGCTATAATGGTCGGTAATAATGGCATCTACCATATGGGAAAATTTCAGTAAGAGATAATCCTGTAAAAGCGCTCAGTATAGCCAGTTATTACTATTGCTATCCCCATTATTGCTTCTTCTCCCTAAAATGCTCCCCCAGCCACTTCCCAAACAAGTACTCATCTTTCCATCTTCAGCTCAAACGCCTGTCTCTTAGTAACACGCTTTTTTCTGTTGTTCTCACACTGTACACAGTACCAATTTCTATGATAACATTTCTAAGCCTTCAGTTTGGTTTTATATTTACTTGTCTCTCCCAATCAGATTTCCAGCCTTTTATTGGCATGTTGGAGGCAGAATAACAGTTGCCAAAAATGTGCATACCTTAATCTCCAGAACTTGTGAATATCGTACTACTGGCAAAAAGGACTTTGCAGGTGTAATGAAGGTACAAACCATAAAACAGACTATCCTGGATTCTCTGAGTGGGCTCAATCAAATCACATGAACCTTTAAAAGCAGAGAATGGTCTCTGGCCACAAGTGGAAAGCACGGAAATGGTAAAACGGAAGAGGAAATCTGAAAGATCCGAGGTCTGAGAGGGCTGTGCGGCGGCTGGCTCCGACATAAGGCCCAGGTGTAAGCACGCAGAGAGGCCTCTGGGAGCTCAAAGCAAGCATGAGAAGGAAGAGGTTTTCTAGGGGCAAAGACCGGCCCTTGACACAGTCTGCAAGGAAGATTCCTACAACCACGGGGTGGGGGGTGGGGGGAAGAATTCAGCCAGCAACTTGAATGAGCACGAAAGTGGATTTTTCCCTAGAGCCTCCTGGAAGGGACGCCACCCTGCGATCCTAATAGAACCTTGACTTTAGCCCCACATGACCCATGTCAGACACCTAGCTGATGTGACACAGTTAAGTTGGTTGTTTTAAACTGCTGAGTCTGTGGGGAGCTGTTATGGGGACAATAAAAAACTGCAGGGGCAGACGCTATGTTTCCTCTGACCTGTGAGTCTCCCACAGCGAGTGTTCCAAGTGAATGAATTCAGGTATGGAAGTTTGGAAGGTAGATGGCAATACGGGAGTGGAGCTTAGAAAACACTAAAGATTTATATTTGGGCATCCTCCATAAAGATAACAGAGAGAGGCCTGAGAACGCAGCCCACTAAAATGCTTACTTTGTACCAGGCACCGTGCTGGGTTCTAAAGAATTAACCCACATGATGCGCTCCAACAGTCCAATGAGGTAGGTAGGTGCGCTTTAACCGGTTTTACAAAGAAGGAACCAAACATAAAACTGTTGACTTGTCTGTGTTCGGGAATCTAAGAAGTGGCGGAGATGACATTTAAACTCCAGCAGTCTGGCTCCAGGGTTCTCCCTGTTCTAACTGCTAAACTAAACTATTTACGTCTAAATTCTGAAAATTCCCCATAGTCGGAATAGTGAGGGTGTATAGATAACGACCACCAAAACGTGTAGTGAGAAAAGTATGAAGAAAACCAAAAAATATAGCAGTTCAGAAGGAAGAAAACCAGAAAATAGTAGTTCGGATGTCAGGAAAGAAAGTGTTTCATAATAAGAGTCATTATCTATGACAAACACCAAAATGGAAGCCACAAAGAATGAGAAAATGAGAAGGGATCACTGTCTAAGGCAGTTAAGAAGCCATTGGTAACCTTTCTTTTTTTAAAGATTCTTTATTTTTAGTGAGAGGAGAGGGAGAGAAACATGGATCGGTTGCCTCTTGTGTGCCCCAGAGCAGGGACTCAGCCCGCAACCCAGGCGTATGCCCTGACTGGGAACTGAACTCACCACCTTTTGGTTCGCAGGACGATGCCCAAACACTGAGCTACACCAGCCAGGGCCATAGGGAACTTTTAATACCGCCATGTTATGCAGTGAACTGGTGAGTATAAAAGCCAGAATCCTCTGGGTTAATAATGGGTGTTAAGGAAATGGAGGTGATACATATAAATCATACATGAATAGAGAAATATGCCCAAAGAAGGAAAAACACTGAAAGGAAAGAGCTGGTAGGATCATCAGGTCCAAACTACTTTCAGAGAACCTAGGCCTATTCTATTCCCCCCATAATTTCCCTTTGCATTGCCCTCACCACCCACCTCGAACCGCCATGGCGTGGGAACACATCCAGAGAACTTGAACCTTGACGGTTAAATTAACCCATCATGAGAGCAAAAGGAGGCACAGGGGCCCCGTCCTCTCACTGCAAAAAAAGTATTCAATGACCACTGAGTCTGTAAAGACAAGTAGGGTTCCTTAGATCTCATCTGTTTTTATATCAAGTTGTGATTCCTTTAAGTCATTCACCAGAATGCCAGTCCTATTTAGATAAGATATATCTACGACATACAAAGGTTTCACCAGGCAAAAGGCTTGGAAGCTGTTACAAAGGAAAGAACTTTTCCCACCAGAAAGAAGCCTCTGACCTGACGGAACAGACCCCATGTGCACAAAGGGGAAGTGGTTCTCTCTGCCGCTCTCACGTAGGCACGAGGCCTGACGTGGGTCGGATGAAAAGGCCAAATTAAGATCGATAAACACGGCTGGGAAGTGCTGCTTTGTTTACATTTACTATCTTCTCCTACCAAGTTTGTTTGCAGCCCGGCGACGCTCACATTGAGGCCATAAACACAAGAACATATGTGATTTTTTTTAAAATGTGCCCTTTGACTGTCAATTTCTCCCAAACAGGTGTTGGCTAAATGATTATAAATTGGCCTCTGGATACACCTCTTCAACTGAGCCGTACAGGGCTGGTGATAATGTAATTAGGCCTAAAAACATCAGGCCGGTGAATGCTTTCCATCTGTTTGGCAATAATGTTTAGTTAACAATAGTCTTTAAAAGAAGCACCTTCAACTTCAGTTCTTAAAGTTATTTATAGAGCCATTCTTAACACACCAGCACTCTTGCTAACAAGAGCTTTAGCCACTTGGAAATTATTAGCCATACGGCTGTATACAAAGAGAAATGACTGCATTTAACATCTGTATCTTTCCAAATTTACACGCTTCAACCTCATTTAAAGTCATTTCTTAATGAACAGGACTGTGGTGCTGCATTAATATTATAGTTGCATGCACAAAGATCGTAAGGAGCCAAACATTTTTTTAATGCCAACAGTAGGCCAATCTGTAATGAAGCTGTCAGCATAAAGGACAAAATAATAGCTTCTTTAACCCTCAAACAGAATTTGTTCATCTGCAGACTAGAACACATCAATTTAAAAACTGCTCATGGGTTTGCTCACCTTTATAAAGACAAAAATCTAATTTGGTACTAATTTGATACAATTGTCTTTCCAATAAAAGGCTCCTAAAACCATCTCTTATTTCATAATAAAACAAGTACT